CATCTATATTTACACCTAATATTTTTCTCAACCTTTTAAGAGTCACTGATGACATGGTGCCCTGTTATCCCTTCATAATTGAATGAGTATTCCATAAAAAAGACATTTTCCTACATAGCAGCAGAACAGTCAAATCAGGAAATTAACAAAGATATATTAACTACCAAATTCAGAGTCCATTCAAACTTACCTAATTTTTTTTCCCCATAGGTCCAGGATCTAATCTATCATCACATGTTGCACCAGGATTTAATATCTCTTTAGTTTTATTCAATATAGAACAGGTTTTCACTCTTTCCATTTGTTATCTTCACATTTTAAAAATGTATGGGTCAACAACTTTTTAGAATGTCCCTCAATTCAGGTTGATGTGATGTTTCCTCAGAGTTATGTCCAGATCATGTATTTTTATCAGGAAAATCACTGAGGTGCTACTGAGTTCTTTTTAGTGAAGAGACACATAATGCTGATCTGTCCTACAACTGGTAATGTTAACTTTTATCCCCAGAGCAAGATAGTGTCTATAAAGTTTTCCACTATAAAGTTAATAATTATTTTTTTACTTATTAATTAATAAGTATTTGATAACTATTTTGTGAGGAAAAAATATACTTTTCTTCCTAAAATTTTTAATCCCTTCATTTAATACCCATTGTTTCTTGCCTGAAGCAATTATTACTATGATAATTTCCAACAATTTCCTAATTTTGCCATTAATTATATTTATTTATTGGTATTCCCTGTAAAGTAAAGCTTTCCTTTCTCCTTTTAAAATTTTATTTATATATTTATTCTTTTTTAAATGTATATTAGTATGACCTTAGAGATTCCTGTTTTATCCAGTGAGTTATAATTTGTTACTATCTTGCTTTATTTTGATGCTTAAATTGGCCCAAATTTGGTCAGTGAGATTCTCTTCAAGCTGGTTTTTATGTCTTTTTAATGTAATTTTTTGTGAGACCAATTCCTTAGCTTATGCTACTCTCCCTCTCTAGCTCTGAAACAACTGGTTCTCCAAAGAGTCTTGGTTTATTTTGGCAGAGAACAGCATTTAGAAAACAAGATCTAGGTGCTAATAGTGATCATTGCTACAGAGGGTTCATTTTTATTTTATTAAAGTATAGTTGATATACAAGGTTGTGTTAATTTCTGGTGTACACCAAAGTGAATAAGTTATATATATATTATATATATATATATTCTTTTTCATATCCTTTTCCATTATGGTTTATTACAGGATATTGAATATAGTTCCCTATGCTATAAAATAGGACTTTGTTGTTTATCCATATGGAGGTTTCTTCTCTTCTAAGTTCTCCAAATTGACAGAGCAAGAAAATACATATCCTAAATGAATATCTGTGTGCGCGTGTGCACACACACTCACCCACGCCTACATATTTATAACTATCTAGCTATTGAGAGAACCATCTAAAAACCATGATTTCTCTTGGATATCTCCAATCCAAACTGAAAAAAAACAAGGCTTATTTTTGTCTCTCTTTTTCCCCCCAACACTTATGGAACTCTTCCTTTCCATGAGAAACCTGGCTTTACTTCCCTTTAATCATTCTACATATTTACTCAATACTTCTCCACCCATATAACCAATTTCCTAATCACATAGAGCTCTACCAGCCAAACTTTCTGCTCCAACCAAGGGTGGAGGGGGAGAGAAAGAGAAAGAAAGATTTTTCTCCTCCAAAGTGCATCCTTAACCAAGTTCATAGTAATTCACTAAATCAAAGAATAAACACCTTTACATATATTATAAAAATCCATCATTACTCTGTGATGGTTTCATCTAAAACAACCATACTTTTGTTAAAATTTTATGCAATAACCCAGTTTTCTAGTTGCATAACAGGTACTTATTAAATATTTATGGAATAGTTAATAGAATTAAAGTTCTGATTTGTATGTTTATAAATTTTTAACCACTTGTCTTACTTGTTTCCATCTTTTCCTATAAAGAATCAACAGTTTGCTTAATATTCCAATGATTTTATTGGAAACAGTGAATGTTTTTAAAGCATTTAATGGATTGCTAAAATGTCCTGCCAGTATGAAATGGAGCATCTCCTGAAACAACAAGGGTAAAAAAATCCTGGGGGAATTACAAAATAGTCTGGAAAAATATAAATAGATAAATAGCCAAGATAAGCAACTGCTACCATATTCTGAGCACCTGCTCTATAGTAAGTACTAAACTGGGCATTTTAGTTGTACATCCTCTGTACAGTAACTATTATTATGATTATTTAAATATGAAAAATACAGATAGAGATCTAATAACTTGTACAAGGTCACTCAGCAGCTGAGGGACTGAAGCAGAATTCAAATACATCTAACTCCAAAACCTGTGCATTTAACATTCTTTTTGAAATAATAAGGACAAAAGTGCCAAATACTATTTGTCAGGCTGTGACAGGTACGATCTTTTCTGCATCTCCTTTTGGGCTCAAATCTCTACCATAATTAAAAAACCCTTTCTTCCTCAAGGCATGCAATGGAAAAAAAATCCTGGGCAAGCCTCATAGAGAAAAACGTAATTCAGGTTATAAATTTAAACATGGTTGTAAGATTATTTGGAAAGACAGACATAAAGGAAAGCATTCAGAAAGAAAAGGCATCGCGCATTTTTAACAATTAAAAGTGCAAGGAGCTAAATGCTCTTGGCCCAGTCAGAGTCATGGCTTACTCTTCTCATTTAAACCATACAATTATTATAAAAATTGGAAAATCAGACTGGTATGGCTTTCATTTATTTATTTATGTAATGAAAGAGAGAGCATGAGAGAGAGAGAAAGATTCTATAGAAGTATAAAAACTATGATCCACCCACACTGGACTCCTTTATGTTCAGATGGACCAAGCCCTTTCCAGCTTCAAGGTCTTTGAATGTGCTGATCACACATCCCAGATCAATTCCTCTACTTCTGTATGATCATCTTCTTTATTTCATCTGGGTCCCAGAAATAACCATTTCTACAACTGGGCCTTCTCTTCAAAACCTATCAAAGGACAATCTCTTCCCTGCCAGTCCTTGTTAATTTATAAATGGAAGTATGACATAAGACTTTGCTTGGTTTATTTATAGTGATTATCATATTCTGTAGTGCTTTTTATTTTTTGCTTGTTTGTTTATCACCTATACCCATAGGTGCTCTCATGTTTTGAAATTGTATATTTAGTTCCTCAGCACTTAGCATAATGTCTGGGATAGACAGCTAGATAGATAGCTGGAGATATATAAATATGATACTCAATAATTAATTAATGAGTTAATAAACTAAGTCTATTAATTCTTTGCCCTTATAAAGTTTCAAAAAGTATAAATATTAAATAAAGACTACTAGGGATATTCTTTGTATAAACACAAAATTTATGATTTTATGTCTGTAGGCTAGGCATCATTTTTGGCATAATAAAATCAATGGAAAACATCTAATCAGAATTTTTAAAATTAACTTCTGAATTAATGCTATAAACTATCACATCTAGAAGAATAAGTTGTTTTTGTTTTCTGGCATATTTGTCATTTTTTTTAGTATTTTAACTTAAAATGATATAAGAAAATTATAGGCTAAGAGAAAATGAATCCATCTCAGGTCACGTCCTATGTAATATCCTGGTTACAAAGGCTGTGACTTCAACTGACAACTTCGAGTTATTGGTCTGAGAAATTTCATGATTAGGCAATGTCTGCAAGGGCTTATTATTATCATGACCCCTAAACATGAATACAAAAATAACTGTGGTATAGCTAGCTGTTGGTAATTTACTTGTTAAAATTGTTCAAGTTTGTAGCTCTGAAACCATAGTCTAGAGTAAATGGTGCACAATATAAAATAATAATTTGAGCAAAGTTTATGAAACTCAAGATAATCCTTTTATTTAACCCATTAAAATTAAGAACTTAGGGAATAATGCCAACAATGTTATGTCAGAAAATGAAAAAAAAATGTTTTCTCAGAATTCTAGTTTGAAATATTCTGGTACTTATTTTCTCAAAATTCTATGCCATTTTTCTGATTTCTAAAAATTGAAAGGCTAGTAAGAATTAATGAAAATTTGAATAATGTATGTTCTAAACAAACTTTCTATAGAAAATACTGTGGGGATCTATATAATCTAAATTTTTTTGACAATATAACCCATGTAAACCTAGTTGTCACTGTCTTCTACTTAGTTTATGATATAGGGTATCACAGATTCCACTGACAATTTTTCAATAATTGTCTTTGACATAAGCATTTTTTATAGATTGTGATTTTCCTCTGAAAATCTGATTGTATCAATCAATCAGGCTGATTTCAACTGCAAGTAATGGAAAACCATGACTTAACTAATTTAAACATTAATAACGTTTATTATCTTACATTAAAAGTAGTTCAGAGCTGTGTTAATTAAGCAGTTTACTAACATTATCAACGACTTAGGTTCTTTCTATTTGTCTTTATGCCAACCACATATGTTGGCTTAATCTAAAAATGTGTTCCATTCATGGTTACAAAATGGCTGTCATGGACCATGGGCCTGCTGTACTCAAAGCCTCATATCATATTTATACAAGTCGTCCAGGCAGAATCCCTACACCCACATGGCATTTACTAAATCTGATTCCATACTCACTCCTACACTAATCATTGGTAAGAGAAATATAATTAGCTGATTAGAATAGATTCATTGGAAATGACCCCTTAAAGAAGAACAGGGTCATTCTTGAAAAAGTTCAGAGTTCTATAAACAAAAGATAATAGAGGAGACAGCTATTGGGTAGGCAACAAACTGCTTCAGTGACTCTTAAGTGAATACATACAACAACAAAAAGAAATTTGATATATCCCACATTCTAAAAAAACTGATGTAATTTGCTCTAAGTTAGTGACAGGGTTACTAAAATGAGATTTCACTGCTTTCCAGCCCTGAGTTTTCTCTCTGTTAATTTTCATCACTTGGTTTCTCCTGCAGGCAATAGCATTCTAAGCTGTACCCCAGAGAAGTCAAGAATTGTCTTCAGTCTTCATTAACATGCAGTATGTATTTGAGTAGTTTTGTTATTCATATATTTTGCTGATATTTATACTCAGTTCATTATGAACTTTTATAGGTGAGAATGTATGATTTACAATATTTACTGTGGCTCCGTAATGGTTTTATTATGCAGGCACGGTTAAGGCAAAAAAAGTAGAGCCCCACCTCACTCTTGCTCTCACTAAGACTTTTATTAAACATTCGATGGCCATGGTAGTTAGCGCCAGTGACATGATTCCCCTGCAGAACAAGATTCTGGGGGTTTGTTCACAACAGATGAGATGATACAGTTTCCCTTTTCCCATTGTTGGACGTAGTGTTTTCTGAAACCGGATCTGAAACATCAGAGGTTATTTTTGCTGAACATCACACACTAGCACATTTGTCCAGCTACAATGAAAAACCCTTTAAGAATAAAGATGTGCTTTATTCCAATGGCATTTCAGGAAATGAAATTCAAAATTTTTGGCACTGAGCTGTACTTTTTGGGAGTCGGCTTCTTCCAAATTTTCTTGCATCACATAAAAAAGGTCAACTGTGGGTAAAACTGGAAGGCAGTCATTTATCATACTTCTCACTCTCTGCAGATCTTCTAATGGTTAACATAATCAAAAGGTTTTTGACTTAAACATTTGTCCCCTTCCTGGTTCTCAATGTTTCAATGCTATGCTACATCTCTAAGCACAAAGAAAAATCTCTATGAAAGAGTATATTTACTGCAATCTATTTTGTATTCAGTTTCATATATTTGCAAACCAATTTCATACAAACATGCAGAACCTGAAACAAGAATTTTCATGGAGATATATTCCTAAAACGTTACATATATTTTTAAGACATTTTGTAGATTAAATTTCAAAAGCTGTACATACCCTGAAACACCAAGTAATAGACATCTCCTTTCTTAGTACCTCCTCCATATTGTCTGAATTCTGATCATCCTACCTACATTGAACTCTAAACAATATTTATCTCTGCTTTTATGAAATATCAAAATATGGAAATGTCTTCCCCTCCATTCAGCTTTTTTACAATGGCTAACAGCCATTTAGCTGATTTTCAATTTAGTTCTGCAGCCATTTATTGAGTGTATACTCAGAGCATGACATGGTATTAAGTACTCTGGGAAATACTAAAATGAGTAATAACAAGAAGCTTATGTTCCAAGAAGGTAGATAAAAAATAGACACATATGATTCACTTGTCTACCAAGGCAGCCTTTAATAAGTGACATAAATGGTCTATGAATTGAAGATTCTCACCTCTACCATTCACTAGATGAATAATTACATGAAACACTTCGTTACTGTTTAATGGATCAAAGCATTTGTTTGATTAGCATTGGTTGCGGGGGGTGGGGGTGTCTGGCAAGTTGCTGTTAAAGCTAGGAAATGAGGAAGGTGATATTTCCCTTTGAGAATTAAAGCTTGGTATAAAGCCCAGGGGAGAAATAGATTCCCTGAACAGTAGGACTTTGTTGAAAATGCTAATATACAAGTAAAGGATTTATTTTATCAAAAAGGGGAACTACAGAAAGAGTCAGAGACACTTCAGTTCAGTGCTTAATTCAAACATTGGCTAAGAGAGTGGATGTATTAGATGCATTATCCATGGGAACTTGAATATTTTTCATTCTAATGTCCAGGTTATCACAAGAACAGAGCTGAATATCAATCACAGGAGTCAGTAAATACCATTTCCCACTTATTGACAAGACAGTACATATCATCAGATGGCTATGGCTGGCTAGCTAGCTTAACCTGATGCCATTAAACACTCAACACAACCAATTCCCCTCATTTTGAGTTTCTACTCAATATGTCATTTTTAATTCCCATAAAAATCTACTTTCTAAGAAGTGTTCATTCTTTGTTTATTATATTTCTTATTTCTGTGCCCTTGAATTTTCATAGAAAATCAAAGTTGATTATGTGGGCCTTCCCCATTGGCATTTGGTGACAAAAATATTCTGATCCATGCGGCAGCATTTTCATTCTGGTGTCTCAGTCTCACCATGTTTTTAGTTAAGTGTGATTCAACCACGTACGGCCAAATTTCCCCTGCATACTGATTAAATTTGGTCTGGGCTTTTAAAGAACCACATTTCATCAGCCTTTCCTAAGACCAATGACTAAGACCAATGCAGTGACTACCATTTGCAAATGCACTTCCCTCTCTACTGACCTCCCCAATTGGCAAGCTGCTACATTTATGGTTATTTGACTCCACCAGTTTTCACTTGCATCAGTTACAAAAGGACATATGGCATTACTAAACTTAGTCTAGCAAGTAAGTGAACTAGTTACATCAGTGAAAATATTAAAGAAAGAACATGTCTTTGTGCATTCCTGGTATAAATACCTGTAATGTATATCCCATTAGGATATCTGTTTACCTTCATTTGTTGCAACATATTTATGTATCATTCATTCCATATGTGTACATAATTTATATATTATAATCACTGAGAATTTGATTAACCAAAAGTCATTTTAAGGGAAATTATTTGTGGAGACAACTTTAAATAAAATGTGAGAATAAAAAGATTAATGGCTGTTTTCTGCAGGGTCAATGCAATATTCTCAAGGAGTTTTTTTGTTTTGTTTTGTTTTTCTATCATAAGTGAAGGAGAAAACATTGCATACTATTATTGACAATTAAAAATGGCAAGATATATCTTAGATTAGTGAAACAGTACAAAGCCAAAAAAGATTATAAGATTAATAAGCACCAACACAGGAACAGTATGGGATAATGGAAGGAAAACATGCTAAACAGATTTTATTATCAGATGGACCTAGTTTAATATTTTATCTTGTTTGGGGAAATTTCAATAATTTTTTAAATCTCATTTGTGTTATATGTAAAATAGAAATATTAGTACCTGCCTGTTTTATTATCATAAAAATTTAATTGTAATTTTTACAAACTGCACTATAAAGTTTCTAGCATTTGGCAAAATTCATGTAATGGTAAATATCAATATTATAAATTCTTTCATGGTAATAACTTCAATGGTGTAAATATTTATTTAAGGAGATGATTCCAATTCCCTAACAGATAACTTACTATGGATAGAGGTACAGTGCTGAAGAATCTAAAATTCAAGAACTTCTGGTTGTTGAAATGGGAAATTGTAGGTGTTTGAGGGATTTGGGCTGATAAATTAATTAAACAAGGAGGTCATTAGACTGAAGTGGCTGTAAGGATCTAGTGGCCTCGGTAAGCAAACCAAAACCTAGGTCTTTAAATGCCTCAAAGTTGAGAAATTAAAACCAAAGGACAACTAGTACAAACGACCTTCTCTATATAAATCTTTTTCCCATCTCCTGTCAGTAGATTGCACCCAACCACTTCTGGTTTGTCACTGCACATTAGAATCCATTTTTGCTCAAATAAACTCTTAAAATTTGTAATATGACTCAGTTTATTTTTTAACAGGGCTGATCAAGAAAAATTATATGGCTACATGAGGCAGTGACAAACAAAGGACTTCATTGGGTCCCTCATAGATTGACATTGTCCAGAGGCTTAGGCAAGGGGCCACCATCCAGAAGAAAAGAGGGGCAAGGGCGCCCCTAGGGGGAGAGGGGATGATGAGAGGGATTACTTATATAGGGGATGTGTGGCGATGTCTCTCAGCAGCACCAGGAGCCTCTGAGTCACAGGACTCTGTAGGGTCAGGGCCAAAGGGCTGTAGTGGTTTGGGACCTTACAACTACAAGACAAGGCAGGCATACTTCATTTCATTGCACTTGTCTTTATTGTGTTTTGAAGAGGTTGGGTTTTTTACACATTAAAGTTTTGTGCCAGCCCTGTTTCATTAAGTCTATCGATGCCATTTTGCCAACAGTTTTCCTCACTTCCTGTCTCTGTGTCACATTTTGGTAATTCTCACAATATTTCAAACATTTTTTTATCATTCTTTGTTATGGTGATCTGTGATTAGTGACCTTTGGTGTTACTACTACAGCTTGCTGAAGACTCAGATGATGATTAGCATTCTTTTAGTAATAAAGTATTTTCAAATTAAGACATGTACATTGTTTTTATAGACTCGAGGCTATTGAACACTTAGTAGACTACAGCATAAAGTAAATATAACTTATATGCATTGGGAATCCAAAAACATTTGTGTGACTCACTTTATTGTGATATTCACTTTATAATGGTCTGAACTGAACCCACAATATTTCTGAGGTATGCCTTCATTACCAACGGATAAGAGCCACTGGGTGAGGTTTTGTGGGATATGTAAAGCAAACCAGTTCTAAATGGCTAAAACTCTTCTCATTTGGGCTATTTCCAAGTCAATTGGAGGTATAAAAGTTGAGTTTGTCGGTCAGCATTTTGTGCTAAGAGGCCTCAACCTGCAGTGAGGAAATCAACAACCTTCAGGGCAATATGCAGGCCATCTCTAGGTTATTTATATAACAGAAATGTAAGTTCATATTACAAACTTGAATTGGAGGGTGTGTCAGTTATCTGCTGCATCTATGATTTGCATAGTCTAACTTGTAAACAAGCATGTCTTAAATCTGAGTTTGTTGTCATGAACGATACAGCATTTATCTCAATTGATATAGAAGGCAAAATTACCTCAGATTTTACTGCTAAAACTCTGAAAGATGGGGCTTCCCTGGTGGTGCAGTGGTTGAGAGTCCGCCTGCCAATGCAGGGGACACGGGTTTGTGCCCCGGTCCGGGAAGATCCCACATGCCGTGGAGCGCCTGGGCCCGTGAGCCATGGCCACTGAGCCTGGGCGTCTGGAGCCTGTGCTCCGCAACGGGAGAGGCCACAACAGTGAGAGGCCCGCGTACCGCAAAAAAAAAAAAAAAAAAGAAAAAAACTCTGAAAGATGAAATACCCATGGTAAGTCAGATATTTTAGGAGATTCATTAATTTAACAAAAGTTTATGGAATTGTGGAATTTTAATGGCAAAAAAAGTTTATATACTTCCTAAATAAAAATATTTCACAAGAAGTAATACGAACAATGTAGTAGAATAATCGCTCCCTAAAGATGTCCACATCCTAATCCCCATAACCTGTGAATACATTACCTTACATGGCAAAAGAGAATTTGCAAATGTGATAAAGTTAAGGATCTTGAGGTGGGGAAATTACCCTAGATTATCCAGATTGTAAATGTCCTAATAAAAGAAAGAGAAAGGCAGGAGAATCAGAGAGAAGGAGATGTAACAATGGAAGTAAAAGGTCAGAGAGAGAGAGGGTAGGGGGAGGGAGAGAAAGAGGGAGATGGAATATTGAGATATTGATGTTGAGGAAAGGACCACACACCAAAGGATGCAGCCTCTAAAACCTGTACCTGTTCCAAGTGAAGAAATAGATTCTCCCATAGAGAATCCAGAAGGAACATAGCTCTGTCAACATCTTGATTTTAGCCCATAGACCCACTTTGGATTTTTGACTTCCAGAACTGTAACATAATACATTTGTGTTGTTTTAAGCCACTAAGTTTGTAGCAATTTGTAACAGCAGGAACAGGGAACTAATAGAGTGTGAGTTTTTGAATAAAAGACTATAACTTAAAATTATATAGGAATTTTAATAAATCCATTTAAATTAGCATAACAATTTGAATAGAATGCCATTAGTTCATTTCATTGATCATAAAAATATGTTGGAAAAAAAGATCCACCACAATGTTGGACTTAAAGAGCTTTTAAATCCTCTAAGTGATGAGATAGTCTCTGTTATGGGCTAAATTGTGTCCCCCACAATCCCCGACCCCATTTCTATGTTGAAACCTTAACCCCCAATGTGACTGTATTTGGAGATAGGGTCTTTAAGCAGGTAATTAAGATTAAATGATGACAGAAGAGTGGGATCTTAATGCAATAGGATTGGTGGCCTTATCGGAAAAAGGGACACCAAAGACCGCTCTCTCTCTCATTCTCTCGGCATATGCACCTAGAGAAAAGGCCATGTAAGGACACTGAGAATGCACTATCTGCAAGACAAGGAGAGTGGTCTCACCAGAAACCACACTGCTGGCACTTTGATCTTGGACTTCCAGAACTGTGAGAAAATAAATTTCCATGAGAAAATAAACCACCCAGTCTATGGTATTTTGTTACGGGAGCCCATTCCACTAAGAGTGTCCAAGGAAACTGAAGGGTGAATAATCTTCCAATGTTTAGTAGAATCATAATCTTCTAATTTGAGGTAAATTTGTAATACTGTTTTCTTGAACAGGAAATTCATGATGGCCATGTTAGGTTTCTGAATAAACACACTCTAAAAAATTCTTTAAGTATAAAAAAAAGTTATGAAGATATTCTCCTAAAATAATTACTCCTATAATAATTCATCATACTTTAAAATCAGAAGGAATTTAAATCTCACTATAACCTTCATTATTATTACCTAGAATTTATAATTTAATGGCAACATGTTTCTAATAACCACCGTCTCAGAAATATCATGTAATTCTCTAGCCAAGTACCTTGGTTATTTTTTATACTCTTTGTCACTATCTGAAATTATCATTTTTTACCTTCTTGGTATCTGTCTGGCTTACTATAATGAGAGAATAAGTGAGAAGACTTATTCTGTCTCCTTCTCTGCTATATCCCAGAAATTAAAACTAAGTGTAACACATAGTAGGTACTCAATAAATATTTATTGAAGAACTGAGTTAATTAATACAAAAATTAATTATGATTCCATATTAATTATGAGTCTGAGTCCATGAAAATACTTTTAACTCTCCTTTTCTCTTTTATATCTAATATTTACAATGATGTGTTTCTTTAAAAGATACTTCACTCTACTATATGGGGTCCTAATTGTTGCCAGAAGCATGGTTCAAATGAGACAGGATAACTTCCAGGTTCTGGAAACCAATTAATACACAGACTTAACTAGATTGCAACAGGTCACCAATGAAGGTCCAGATCTCGAAGGGCAGAAATTACAGAATCAAGTGAAGCTAGCAGACAGATGGCAGTCACTGAGGAGTTTGATCAGTATGGAGATGAAACAAAGGGAGGTCAAAACATAGTAGAAATAGTAGTAGCTAAAAAATTACTGAACACTTGCTATTTTCTAAATATTTACAAGATCTCTTACACATGTAAGGAGTACTATTTGAAAATTTTATACCATGAGCTTTCTTTTTCTATGCCTACTGTCCTGTGACTACTATCTACTGGAGTATTGTCATATATTACTCTGTATAGAGAACAGATACAGCCTGGATAAAATAAGTTAAATTAAATTCTAAGTGAATTTTTTTGTTATTAATGTTGTGTTAGTTTCTGCAAAGTGATTCATGTATATATATATATGTTCATATATATATTCTTTTTCAGATTCTTTTCCATTATAGATTATTACAAGGTATTGAATATAGTTCCCCTGAATGATTTTTTTTAACTCACAGGAAGCAAAATAGCCTAAAACTAAAGCACTTTTTGATTTGCAATGATTTATTATTTGAAGAAATATGGATAAGTTTGCATCTAAGAGATGATAAGAGATGAAGGGTGAAATTAAAGAGAGAGTAGAGATTTTACTGAAAGCCCTGAGTGGAGAATGCAGGGTATGGCAACACTCTCCCATCTAACAAGAAAGGGAACACTTATATTTCTAAATTTAAGGAGAGAATTAGAGAAGGACTGAAAAATGGAGAAGAATGCAGGAAGGAAGACCCATGTTAAGACTTTCTTGAGGCTTCCTTGCTGACTTCATAGGGCCCATTCTATAGGGATGAGTAGAGAATCCCAGGGAGTTGGATGAGTGCCAGAGCAGGAGAGCTTCTTGCGTGAATTCTGCAGTTAAACTGACTCATCAGCAGATCTGTCCATGACACTCTGGATACGACAAGCTGCCTAGAAATATATACCTAGTTGAATTTTCATTCCAAATTTACTTTGAATCGTGTACCAAATCTAAACCATCAGACATAGGTTAGTATCTAACAAGGAGAAAATGATGTAAACCATTCTGCATGCAAATACTTTATACTCACACTCTAGGGAACATATTAACTCATGTGTGTGTATTCATATCTCCATGGCACATCAACAAATTCACTAAGAATAGAGCTGTGTGACATGGCATAACCTCTGAAATGTATTTGATGAAGTGTTTTTTTTTAATTTTAGTTGATACTGCTGACCAGTGGGCAAGGCATTACCTAGGTCTTCAAGGGTCCTTCCTCCTCCTAATGATGACACAGTGCATATGGATCACGAGTAAAAATAGCATGGTGAGATTTTTAGCCTGATAAAGGGTAAGAATTAGCCTATAGGCCGTATATGGTATGGAAGAGGTTCAAATTCCCCCACATGACTCAGAGATGGTTGCAGAAGGGCTGGATGAATGGGTCATAGAGAGAAGAATTTAGGGTAGGTAAAATCCAAAATAGGTAAATCCCATAACCAGAGGCTAAGTTAGGAAGCAGAGACATTTATAGCCAACACAATGAGAGAGGAATTGCATGAGAAGCAGGTGCACAGGGGACAGAGGCAAATACACAATGGCAAAGCTTCAATCAACCCAGGAGACACAGGAAAGAAAGAGGCGACAGAATGCAGAACAGCCTCCTGCCTCTCAAACCTTTGAAGTTATACCAATTTTTCCACCACACCAAGAGGTATCCTGAGAGCATGAGTAGTAGAAGAAAGAAAAAAATGAGGAAAAAATGGAGAGAGTTTAAATGGGAAGACGGTCCTAATATCAAGTTGAAATTTGAATTGGTTTAGTTTAAATATTGGCTGAGACTAAACATCTAAAAGAAACTAAATTTTAAACTTGAATAGCTAAATTACTTTTAATAAACTGAATAATATTGGACTTCAAGGTGGTCAGCAGTGCAGCAATTAAATGAGGCAGTAGGGATTACCAAATTAGAGAAAGGACACACCTTGATGGGCTTTTTGATATCCTGATCATTTTAGGATAATTATTTTATCTGATAGATATTTTATGTGATAGAATTTCTGGATAAGATCTCAGTTCTTATACAATTTAGTTTTTTCAGTTAAATTAATAACTTAAAGTTATTAAAGTTATCTTAAAGTTAAATTAATCTTCAGTTAAATTAATAACTTAAAGTTATTAAAGTTATCTTAAAGTTCTCCATAAATTTTTATTTTTCTGTAAAAAGGGGGATATGATTATAGTAATAATATCAAGGATGAATAAGTGAGACTTTATAAACAAAGCACCTGGAACCCAAAACGTGCTTTCTTTAAAAAGCTCCTTCCTTCCACTCAATTTCAGTGTTTGCTATGTTCTAAATGATAACTTGCTAATACATCCCTCAGAGAAGTCATCAAATATGCTGGACTAGGTGTTAATACACTTGCTAAACCACATGCAATGTTTCTGAGCAAGCAGGAAGCATGGAAATTTCTGGGAGATAAAAGTCTCCTTTCTAGAGAAGCATCATCAAGCTAAAGGCTATAAGAACCACCTTAAAATGTTTTTTAGTATAAAAAATTGGTATCATAGCTCATTAACTCACAAGGACAAGTTGATTGAGTTAGGAAGTGGTTCATTCGATTTATAAACAATACAATAATTTGAAAACAGTTGTTTTCTGCATTTTGTTCTATTTCAGTTATTTGTAAGATTAGATTTTATTTCAAGTTAACCTCAGCAAATGCCAGTGTTTGTGAAAGCATCAAGCTCTGGGCTATTAAAATATATCTTGCCTATGGCACCACACACTGAGACCTTCTGTCTTCATTCTGGGTGAGATTAATACTGTGGTAGTGGGATGCAAAGGTTACACACCTTCTTGTTTTACCTCCAGAAACAGTGATAAAATGCATATAGAAACCCCACTGGCAAAGAAACATGGTTTTAATCACTGTCTACATTTTTTCGCTTGCATATTCCTCCCTCTCACTGAATATCAAAGTGCCTCTTTAGTCAAAACAAAACAATTCCTGCAGGTGTTCATTTCTTCTCTAACACATTTTATCTCTCCTTAGGGACTGTGGTCACCAATGTTTCCACACCATGGGCTATGTTGTTAAAAAAAAAAAAAGCCCCTTATGGTGACAACAAAACTATTTAAATGAACCTTCACTGGGGGAAAAAATTCACTTCTGTGTTATAAAATACTTAGTATGTCACAGATTTATTTGGCTAAAAAGTCAGCAAATATATGTGAGTAGTAATATGAGAGTCAGTAGAAATAGTCACATAAGGAGCAGCAGGACAGATTTAATACATTTTTTTTGCACTTTGCTAATGATAAGTGTACTGATTATTCAGTGCTTCCACTATTAAATATGTCTATAATATACTATAATATATATATACTATAATGCAGTTGCTAGGGATTAACATTATCTTTTTGACAAAAGCAGTGGAAGAAATAATTAATGGGAACCTAATTTCTTCTAGTTAATAGTAAATTAAGCAAATGGCAATCCTTGGTAATCAAGTGGTGTGTCATGCCTTCACACAATAAAAATCATAATTATCAATTTTTTTTCTTCTCCAAACTCTATTAACACTACTAATATTGTTTGTTTCTTTATTCTCCTTTAGACTCTTCAGAAAACGTACTTAAATCTCTTTTTTTATAAGAAACATGAACAAAATAGATAAACCACTAGCCAGACTCATCAAGAAAAAAAGGGAGAAGACTCAAATCAATAGAATTAGAAACGAAAAAGGAGAAGTAACAACTGACACTGCAGAAATAAAAAAGATCATGAGAGATTACTACAAGCAACTCTATGCCAATAAAATGGACAATCTGGAAGAAATGGACAAATTCTTAGAAATGCACAACCTGCCAAGACTGAATCAGGAAGAAATAGAAAATATGAACAGACCAATCAAGCACTGAAATTGAAACTGTGATTAAAAATCTTCCAACAAACAAAAGCCCAGGACCAGATGGCTTCACAGGCGAATTCTATCAAACATTTAGAGAAGAGCTACCACCTATCCTTCTCAAACTCTTCCAAAATATAGCAGAGAGAGGAACACTCCCAAATTCCTTCTACGAGGCCACCATCACCTTGATACCAAAACCAGACAAGAATGTGACAAAGAAAGAAAACTACAGGCCAATATCACTGATGAACATAGATGCAAAAATCCTCAACAAAATACTAGCAAACAGAATCCAACAGCACATTAAAAGGATCATACACCATGATCAAGTGGGGTTTATGCCAGGAATGCAAGGATTCTTCAATACATGCAAATCTATCAATGTGATAAACCATATTAACAAATTGAAGGAGAAAAACCATATGATCATCTCAATAGATGCAGAGAAAGCTTTCAACAAAATTCAACACCGATTTATGATAAAAACCCTGTAGAAACTAGGCATAGAGGGAACTTTCCTCAACATAATAAAGGCCATATATGACAAGCCCACAGCAAACATCATCCTCAATGGTGAAAAACTGAAAGCATTTCCACTAAGATCAGGAAAAAGACAAGGTTGTCCACTCTCACCACTCTTATTCAACATAGTTTTGGAAGTTTTAGCCACAGCAATCAGAGAAGAAAAGGAAATAAAAGGAATCCAAATCGGAAAAGAAGAAGTAAAGCTGTCACTGTTTGCAGATGACATGATACTATACATAGAGAATCCTAAAGATGCTACCAGAAAACTACTAGAGCTAATCAATGAATTTGGTAAAGTAGCAGGATACAAAATTAATGCACAGAAATCTCTGGCATTCCTATATACTAATGATGAAAAATCTGAAAGTGAAATCAAGAAAACACTCCCATTTACCATTGCAACAAAAAGAATAAAATATCTAGGAATAAACCTACCTAAGGAGACAAAAGACCTGTATGCAGAAAATTATAAGACACTGATGAAAGAAATTAAAGATGATACAAATAGATGGAGAGATATACCATGTTCTTGGATGGGAAGAATCAACATTGTGAAAATGACTCTACTACCCAAAGCAATCTACAGATTCAATGCAATCCCTATCAAACTACCACTGGCATTTTTCACAGAACTAGAACAAAAAATTTTGCAATTTGTATGGAAACACAAAAGACCCCGAATAGCCAAAGCAATCTTGAGAACGAAAAAAGGAGCTGGAGGAATCAGGCTCCCTGACTTCAGACTATACTACAAAGCTACAGTAATCAAGACAGTATGGTACTGGCATAAAAAGAGAAAGATAGATCAATGGAACAGGATAGAAAGCCCAGAGATAAACCCACACACATATGGACACCTTATCTTTGATAAAGGTGGCAGGAATGTACAGTGGAGAAAGGACAGCCTCTTCAATAAATGGTGCTGGGAAAACTGGACAGGTACATGTAAAAGTATGAGATTAGATCACTCCCTAACACCATCCACAAAAATAAGCTCAAAATGGATTAAAGACCTAAATGTAAGGCCAGAAACTATCAAACTCTTAGAGGAAAACATAGGCAGAACACTCTATGACATAAATCACAGCAAGATCCTTTCTGACCCACCTCCTAGAGTAATGGAAATAAAAACAACAATAAACAAATGGGACCTAATGAAACTTCAAAGCTTTTGCACAGCAAAGGAAACCATAAACAAGACCAAAAGACAACCCTCAGAATGGGAGAAAATATTTGCAAATGAAGCAACTGACAAAGGATTAATCTCCAAAATTTACAAGCAGCTCATGTAGCTCAATAACAAAAAAACAAACAACCCAATCCAAAAATGGGCAGAAGACCTAAATAGACATTTCTCCAAAGAAGATATACAGACTGCCAACAAACACATGAAAGAATGCTCAACATCATTAATCATTAGAGAAATGCAAATCAAAACTACAATGAGATATCATCTCACACCAGTCAGAATGGCCATCATCAAAAAATCTAGAAACAATAAATGCTGGAGAGGGTGTGGAGAAAAGGGAACACTCTTGCACTGCTGGTGGGAATGTGAATTGGTTCAGCCATTATGGAGAACAGTATGGAGGTTCCTTAAAAAACTACAAATAGAATTACCATATGACCCAGCAATCCCACTACTGGGCATATACCCTGAGAAAACCAAAATTCAAAAAAGAGTCATGTACCAAAATGTTCATTGCAGCTCTATTTACAATAGCCAGGAGATGGAAACAACCTAAGTGCCCATCATCGGATGAATGGATAAAGAAGATGTGGCACATATATACAATGGAATATTACTCAGCCTTAAAAAGAAATGAAATTGAGCTATTTGTAATGAGATGGATAGACCTAGAGTCTGTCATACAGAGTGAAGTAAGTCAGAAAGAAAAAGACAAATACCGTATGCTAACACATATATATGGAATTTAAGGAAAAAAAATGTCATGAAGAACCTAGGGGTAAGACAGGAATAAAGATGCAGACCTACTGGAGAACGGACTTGAGGATATGGGGAGGGGGAAGGGTGAGCTGTGACAGGGTGAGAGAGAGTCATGGACATATACACACTAACAAACGTAGTAAAGTAGATAGCTAGTGGGCAGCAGCCGCATGGCACAGGGATATTGGCTCGGTGCTTTGTGGCAGCCTGGGAGGGTGGGATAGGGAGGGTGGGAGGGAGGGAGATGCAAGAGGGAAGACATATGGGAACATATGTATATGTATAACTGATTCACTTTGTTATGGGGCAGAAACTAACACACCATTGTAAAGCAATTATACCCCAATAAAGATGTTAAAAAATAAAATAAAATAAAATAAATTAAAAAAATTAAAAAAAAAAGAAACATGATTCTTCCAAAGAGCATGTAAAAAAATTTATAAAACTTTTAAAAAAAAAAAAAAAAAACTTGTGGTAGTTAGTTTTGGTACTAAAGTTGTGGTAGTTACTTTTGGTATTATCTTTCCTCTTAATGGAAAAATCAAGATGATTCATTCACTGTACATTTATTCACTTAACATATTAAATGTTTAACCATCTAAAAGACAACAGTGTCATTTCTCTCCAGTTATTCATTTGGCAGGGAGAAGTAAATAATTAGAAAAGTATGAACAAAGAGTATTATGAAAACATGTTATATACATGTGATAGTCATAGTAATTCTGCTGCCAACAACTCTTTTCAATTTCCTTCTTTGTTAAACTTGGAAAATTTTCCCCACACCATTATATAGTAAAGGTGGATTTTCCAGTCATGGTCCTCCATTCTTCCTGGACAAAAATTGGGCATATTTCTCATTCTAGGCCAGTCTTAGTGTTCCTGGAATATTGATTGATATTGTTTCAGAATGGATACCTAAGTCAAGTAGGACCCAAAAAATATTTTGGAGGGTTAAATAAGACATCAGAAGAAATATTTTGTGTTTGTGTATATGTATGTGTTCTCCTAAAATTCTTATGTTTACAAAGATGGAATAAAATGAATGTAAACTTATAGGCAATCATTTTCTACATCATCTGGAAAGAACCTTTCATTATCACAGGGGCAATATTCACCAGGAAACAGAACCTAGTAAGAAAGAGAAAAAGAGAATGAAAACAATAATAATCAGAAAGAGAGAGGGAGAGAGATAACTGTTGGCATAACTTGAGCTCCTGGAACCAAATGTAACTAAAGCCAGATTTCTCCATCTACTTCTCAATTACTGGAATCAGTAAGTTTCCTTTAAAACTTAATAATAATAGCACTGTTGAATGTTAATGTAACAGAATGTGAGCAGTAATCTTTCCCTGCTGTCTCAGATTTTTGCAGCAGGCTCAAATGTAGAGGACAACATTTTCAGTGCTACCTCAGGTGAGGTTCTCATCTATCTTACAGATTTGCTAAAGGATCCTCTAACCCATTCAGCCTGCACTTACCCTTTACCCTGAGGCTATTTGAAAGAAGGAAAACATTCTTTGGAGTTTGAAAAGGCCAAAGGTGAGGATTTCTTTGGAAAGACTTGTTCCTGTACTGTTTTCCCCAAGCCCTTCTGCCTTAGGGAAGGAGGGGAAGATATTTCTCTCTCATTTCAATTCAAGAGAAGGGGACTGAAGAAAAATCATTTTGAGAGTTTTACATCATCCCCCTGGAGGAAGAGGAACACAAGGATGGGTTTCTGATTTTCACCTACTTAGAGAACTCTGAAAACTAAAGACTGGCTGAATCATGCTCTCAAGCACAAGTGAAAGACCCAGGGCATGAAGTGACCACAGAGAAATGACTCACTAGAAGCCATAGGACTGAGGGGAGAGCCTCCGTTGGTCAGCAGCAGGATATAGCTACATCAGTGGAATTTTTCATAAGAGAGTTTTGGGGTGGTTTCCAAACAACTCTAAAGAGAATGAATGAGCTTTTGAAATCTACCTCATCCAGGATGCACTAACCCATGATTATCATGGGACCAGTAAAGATCTTTATTTTTCTTCTTCCTGTACCTCCAACTATGGAGGAACCAGATAAACCCCTATGCATGAAGAAGGAGGAATTAAAGATCCATGTATAAACACTGAGAAGCAGCTCATGCCCACCCTTCTGACCTGCTTCCCAATTCCAAGAACAAAGGATTTTCAAGTCTTGGAGAAGGAGAGTCTTTAAATCTCACAAAACTTTAAAGGAAGGAGATCATATGATTTAATACTGGTCCTGGTTACACAAAGGAAGCTGTCATGTGTTCATTTC